TCACAGCAGCTGGATTGCTGGCATGGGTCACAGCAGCTGGACTGCTGGCATGGCTGGTCACAGCAGCTGGATTGCTGGCATGGCTTGACACAGCGGCTGGACTTCTGGCATGGGTCACAGCAGCTGGACTGCTGGCATGGCTGGCTGCAGCACACTGTTCGAGTCTTTCCAGAGGAGCACATGCTTTTTGTAGTTGTAGCGCAGGCAAAGCTGGATGGAATGAAGACCTGAAATACAGCATACTCTCAGATACCTCACATCTTCGCAAGTTTATCAAGCCACCTGGCGTTATCCCAGGGATATCTGTATATATTCTGAACTATTCTGCCTTTCCTATGCCGTTCCATGAACATCACTCCCTGAATTCCCAAACCCAAAACTTTAGTTTCCACTCCCAAAGCCTGAGCTCTTTCTGTCAACTATCTTTTGCAGTAAGCAATAGACCAATATGCAAGGAAAGTCTGAATTTTGGACAGAATTGTAGAACAGATACAAAGACACTTTTAGACTTGTTGCTCGACCAAAACCCGAATAGAGCTCTTGTTAGCAAAAAACAGTGCCAGCAGGTGAGACTTACCGTGTTAATGGAGCGGTGTAGTTGAGTGAGGAGCAAAAGGATGGGAAGCCTTTTATTTAGCTCGAAATCTGCCTGCCGGAAATGAGATACCCCATAGCAATTCTGACTTCATCATTTACCCACTAAACCTATACTTATTTGTTGAATGTGCCCTCATCTACTTAGTATTTGCCTCATTATTTTTGACCACCCCCTCAATTTTGTATTATTACCAATTTGTTCTGTAAATTTTTTACAGTTTTTTAATGTCAAGTTAATTCTTGTGAACTGCATAAAAGGTATGTTTCTGCTCATTTCATATACAGTAATGTCATTACATAGAGATGTTAGGTGCCTTGTTCAGAGACAGTGAGTCCTAAATTAACATAAAAATCCTAATTACTATTGAGAAGTGGTGGATTCCAGAGGCACGTGGAAGCCTTCTGGAGGCCTGTCACTCCTTGATATGATTTTTAAAACAGAATTCCAGCAAGTGTAATTCCATAGCCCCATGTTTTGCTTTTGGATGTAGAAGAGGTGAAGCCTGATGGCCTTCTCTGGGGTTTCCAGTCATCAGAAGAGCAAATATGGAACAGAAAGTTATTGACAACTCATTCCTCGTTCACGGCATGGGAAACCACAGGCCCTGGGCTTTGCCAGTATGAGAAATTTTAGATGAAAGAACTGTGAAGAATTTTGGAATAGAGTTTGAGTCAAATCAGATTCCAGATTTTTTCCAATTCCTTTCTGACATTTTTAAATAAAAGCAAAACACACAGCTTTTCTAGAACTTTTACATTCTGTTTCTGCTTAGCATAACTTGATCTGCAAAGTTCCTATTACACTTTTTTAAGTTCTAGTATGCCCTCAAGTAAGGAAAGATCCATTGATGGATGTCATTTCTGGAATAAACTCTATGCTTAGTTCTCAGTCACCCATTGGTGGTCATTAGCGCTGATGCTAATGATCATGTTGCAATTATTCATTAATGGTGTTAGTATTTATTTTGCGTGAA